AGCAAGGACTTTTAAAATATTGTTGTGCCGTCAAGGTTATCTTTGTTACTTTCTCATTCCTAAATATTCTCTAGACTGACATAGACAATAAATTTTATTGGGTCACAGTGGGTTACACTTTTAACTAGTTCAGATTTCCTGTAAGAACAAAAAGTTATACCTCAAAAAAGTCACCTGTGCTTAGGGAAATAGCTGAGCTACAATTTCCCCCCCTGATGCACTAGTTTTCTGTTTGGAGCAATTTTTATTATAGTGATTCAAAATAGTATGCCCCACCTGTAATCTCAAGTGACACAATCTGTTCTGCTATCTCAGCACTCTGCCACCTAATCATATTCCTTTATTCTGTCCATCAACCCCCAACAATGCCCTGGAACAAAAATACACCATAATAAGTGGGAAATGGGAGTATTAAAATCCCCAAGAAATAAGTTTTACTTCAGTTATTAACTAAAGAAATCTAATTTTTGTCCTACATTAGTATGTGTGAGGGTGTTTCTGTATACTGCAGAAGATAATTTGCCCTTTTTACTCAACACTGGTAAGCACAAGCAATTTTATTTCTGGTCCAAATGCCAGGAAAAGGGTATTAAGATTCCTGATGTTACAAGGAACACATTTGTGAATTATGCCAAGGCATAATTTTTTGACAATACTGGTACCATATATACAGTGTAAGAACTGTTATCTTCCACATTAATTCTGAAGTCTACACCCATACTTGCAGTAATTAACTTGGGTTATAATCCCTACTTCATTGAAAAAGAACATATTGAAATGTGAAAAAGTTATTAGACAAATTTTACCTAGACAAATACTTACTGTATTTATTGAATTTTATATTTTGTATTTGCTGGTTTTAAATTGTATGTTGTTTTAAATTGTTGTAAGCCGCCCTGAGCCGCCTCGGCGTGAGGTCGGGGTAAAAATCCAATTAAATATAAATAAATAAATCTAAAGCTTAACACCCTTGTGAAGGTAGAAAAGAGCATGAGTCCAGTAGCACCTTAAAGCTTAACAAAATATGTGGCAGGGTATAAACTTTCGTGAGTCACTGCTCATTTCTTCAGATACCCTGCCACATATTTTGTTAGTCTTTAAGGTGCTACTGGACTCTGACTCTTTGCTACTGCTGCAGAATAACACGGCTACCCACCTTGATCTATACCCTTGGGACAGTGCATGTGATGTCCTTAAAAGTTGAATCATCACTAAAGGCACAATCCAGCCACATTCAGGCACTTTGAACTACCACTGACCAGAAACAGGAGAAAATTAAGCATATGCTCAACTTTCTACTTGAACCAAGAGAAATTTGAAGTGCTTAACCTTAGCAAGACTATGCCTCAAATTGTACTCTGTAATCACGTTTCTCTCGCTTCTGGGACTTCCCAAATCAAACTTGAAACCAAAGGATTTTGTGTTACAAATTGTCTATCTTCATGGTTATTCCCACGATCGGCAACCAAACCCTGCTTCAAATCTGTCATTTTTCACTAGTAATAGTTAAGCAAGTAGATGTAGGAACCAGCACTTCCTCTTAAGGAACTACAAATCCCTGTTTTGTTTTTGAGCCACAGTGCAACAGCAAGTCTTCTGGTGTAGCAACACCTTAAGCAGTCACCATATATATATGCCTCAGAGAACTCAATTTTTAAACAAATGGCACACTAGCGATGATTTCCAGCAGTGGTGCAGGATTTCCCTGCCTCTCCCCCTCCTGCTGCAGCTCTTGGCACACAGGCAATCTCCGAGCACAGCATTAAGAGGGAGCCACAGGTCCATGGCGGGGGGGGGGAGGGATTGTGACCACAGAACTCCTCTGCTGGATCTATGCCAGTGATAGACTCATAATGATCTTTAGTCTATTTTTTTAAATCCCATTTGAACTGGAGGTTTTATTTGAAATTTTAAAACTGTCATTTTATTTGTAACTCATGGAATCATTTCAACGTGTAATCACTAAGAAAAATTATTTATTTATTTATTTGACTTTTAGGCCTCCCTTCCCTGTAAGCAGGGCTCAGGGTGGCTTACAACAGAATGAGACAATAAATAAACTAGGTTAAGTTAAAAACAGTAATAAAATACAGTACAAAAATCAATAAATAAAACAGGCTATTCCAAGGTGGTGAGGAAATTTGACAGAAAATTGCAACTAACAGTAAACCACACTTCACTTACAGAGGCATTAGGACAATTTAGTCAATCTACTGCAACTGTGTTGTCTGCAAGGGATAACACCAGCTTTGATAAGATGTCATAGGTATATGAAACTACCATGAATCATCCAAAGACAGAGCTTTCTTAGTTTAATACCTGCAAAATGAGTAGAACACTAAAGTCGCTAGAACAACTTAATTTCTAACAATTGCATTGATTAGGCTGCTTGCATTATTTCTGTGATGGAGCGCCACCACAGCAGTATATACATTTATTGTATGACTCAGGTCCTGTCCATACGAGGCCTTTTGGGCCGGGAGCAGGACAGAACGGGGGCGGAGCAAACGGGCACGATCCCACGGCAACATCTGGGAATCGTTGCCTGCCCGTCCCTGTTCCATCCCAAACGGCCCGTCCCTGTTCCATCCCAAACGGCGATACCGCGCTGTAAAAAAGAACCACCTAACTAGGTGGTTGCATCCTTCCAGCGCTGCAAGCCGGGCCGTGGGATCGGGCGGCGCGTCCTTGCGCCGCCGCATCCCGGCCCCCGGCCGCACTGCGCATGCTCGAGCATGCACAGTTCGGCAGCCTCCCCCTCCCATCGGACTTTCCTCCCTGGCATCTGATCGTGCTGGGGAGCGATGCGCCGCGGCTGAGGGGATCCGTGGGATTCCGCCGTGGCGACTCAAGTTCGGTGCGGCTCTGCTTAGCCGCGTTTCAGCTGTCCCGTGTGGCAGCAGCCACAGTAAGTTTTTGCACTGTGCTATGTGTTGCTGCTGTGCTATTTAGTAAATGTATTGTAATGGGAATTGTGTCAGAGTGGCTCTCGGTGGACTTGGTAAATCCATCTGTGAATAAACCATCAACATTGTGGCATCCAATACTGGCTACGGGTGAATTTAAACACAGAAGTACATTTTGGGCACTGGCGTGAAAAGAATCATGCGGCTTAATATGGTTGTTTAAAACAGATCTAATTGGGGGAAGGAATACTAAAATATTGTCGTTTGTTGAGCAGTGGATAAAATTACTTTACTTCCTTGATTAAGCACATAATGTAATCAACTGTATCTCCCAAACCAACAAAGGTGATTTTGAAGACGATCAGTAGATTCTTAAGCAAGGTTACACTCTTTGAAGTCATCAAAGCTATAGTGTGGAATCCAAAGAGCTATTTCACATGCACTCAATAGTTTGCAGACAGACTCCCCCCCCTTTTTGTTTGATACTCTCCTCAGTTTCTAAAGCAGTTTTTGCCATATATCATGGCATTAACTGTTGCTCAAGAAACAAATTTGAACAAGCCAAACAATTTAGTTAATGTTGTCCACACAGTAACAATACAAATGGCCTCTCTCAAATGTATAACATTTAAATACATAGGGTTGGATCCAAAGTTATTTCCTTCTAATGGAAGGGAGGGTTCTTTTTGCTGACTCTGCCCTCTCCAAAATCAATTTAACCCTTCATGTTGCTCCCAAGGGTCCCCAGTTCCCAGGGGCGTTCTGGAGAGATGTGGGCTACAGGCCGGTGAGGCAGAAGAGTCCCATCGGCATACATTCAATTACCATAAATTTGGGCGGGCTATAAATATGTAGAAATAAATACATTTAGTCAGGATCCAACCCACTAATTTATGCAATTGCAGTATTGTCCATCAAAATAATGTCAAGAAGCTTTTATGCCTGCCTACTATGCACATGCTTCTCAGTGGTCAAAAGGGCCGTCAAGTCACAGCCAACTTATAGCAACCCCATAGGGATTTCAAGGCAAGAGACGTTCAGAGGTGGTTTGCCATTGCCTGCCTCTGGGCTTCCTTGAAGGTCTCCCATGCAAGTACTAACCAGGGCTGACCGTGTTTAGCTTCAGAGATCTGATGAGATCAGGTTAGCCTGTGCCATCCAGGTCAGGGCACATCTTCTTAGGGCTGTTTATGTTACTGGCATACATCCACACTCCCTTTGTGCATGGAGCGTGGTAAGCCCTTGTATGGGTCTTGCTGACTCACACAAAAACCTGTATTCTGTCTCCTCCTGTTGCTGCTATACGTATTTAGATTCTCTCCACCTCTTCTGTGTGCTCTTCACTTATTCACACAAGCTTTTTCTTCTTTCATTTTTTTACACATGGGAGAAATACTGACACAAGAAAGGCCCTCTATACTGATGACTAGAAGAAGAGGAGATTGGATTTATACCCCACCCTTCACTACCCAAAGGAGTCTCAGAGCGGCTTACAAACTCCTTTCCCTTCCCTTCCCCACAACAGACAACCTGTGAGGTAGGTGGTGGATTTATACCCCACCCTTCACTACCCAAAGGAGTCTCAGAGTGGCTTACAAACTCCTTTCCCTTCCCTTCCCCTCCCCACAACAGACAACCTGTGAGGTAGGTGGGACTGAGAGAGCTCTGACAAAACTCCTCTTTTTCAAGAACAGCTGTGCCAGAACTATGGCTTGCCCAAGGTCATCCAGCAGGTGCAAGTGGAGGAGTGGGGAATCAAACACAGTTCTCCCAGATTAGAGTCTGCGCACTTAACCACTACACCAAACAAAAAATGCACAGTCATCGCCTGCTATGAGAAGGAACTGCCAACTGATTCTTCCTACATCATGCTTTCCCACCTATGCTGCACAGAGTAACTGCACAAGCAAAAATAGCAAACCCCGTCTTCTGTTCGATATCCCATTTATCAGCAGGTTAGCAACAGAAAACAAATTGTTTCACAACAGTTGTACATGATAAAAGGGTGTGCATATGTATCTATGCATCTTAAAAGATATTTTAATACCTTCAGCTTACTAAACCATCAAGTTTAGTACATGAATAGTAAAAGTTTGATATTAAATTCAATCTACCGGTGAAACATTAACACATGTTGCAAACAAATTAAGCATCAATTCTAGTTTTTAATTTAATAAAAATTTATATCAAGTGTTTTACATGCACATTTTCATCACACATTAAAACAGAACACACACAAAAGTAACTGAATGAAGTTAAATATCTGGATTTTATTTCTAACCTTTTTTGTTTTAATGACAACAGGTTCTTAGCCCTCTATCTTTTCTCTCACCCCAACATGCTCATATAAACCTTGGGTAATTAAACTAAACAAAAGCCAATCTACAGGAAAATGTTGAGTGCATCTCAGGAACTCAGAGCTGCAGGACACTTTGGCTGTTGCTCTTACTTACCATGATCCAGCGAACCTCTTACATACATGTTAACGGTCTTGCATGAGGACAAATATCTGATCCTCATTTGCAAGCTTACACTGAACTGGGCAAAACAGATACCTGCCCTCCACAATTCAGGTCCTTGCTGGAGGCACAAAGGCAAAAATCAAGCAACCCAAACACACAGAAGCAGCCGTTAAACCATAAACATGACATTGCAATATGGCAACCCTTGGCAGGACAGGCAAGTTCCCATCAATCTTTCAACATGTTTGCACGAGTTATGCACATAATCCTAGTTACAAGGAAGCTGAGTATTAGCATCGTTGAATGAGGGACACTACTGTTAGCTATTTGTTTCCAAGTTATCATAAATGATCAGCAAGCACTTGTAATATGAAGATAGTTTCAGGCAGGCAGCCAGTAGAGCCTGCAGTAGCAGAACTAAATTGGAGTCCGACAGCAGCTTAAAAACCAACAACATTTTCCAGGGTATAACCTTCCATGAGTCACAGCTGTATCTGAAGTGAGCTTTAATTCATGACACCCTGGGAAACTGTGCTGTTCTTTAAGATGCTACTAGACTTGAATTTTATTCCACTTGCACTGTCATACAACACAGAGAAGCTCTTCTATAATTTAACTCCTCTTTTAAAAAAAGTTACCCCCAAGAGACTGTTTCCTGATGAGCTGCTCCCCAAAGCTAGACACGGGGGGGAGAAATCCTTACTTAATTTGGAAGAGCAGAGTTAACTTTTCTTCGCATCAAAAATAACCCACTGATGCTCGCTGATACTATCATTTAACCAATCCAAGGCTGCTCTGTCAAGGGGGTCAGCTTGGAGCACAAATACAACAGACATGTACATGAGTGGGGGGCAAGAGCATCCCTGTGGTCTTCCGCAGAGGCCAGCCGTTTCCAGTGAAGCTTGCACAAGAGGAGAGTTTCTGCTCTTCTAATCTTGTCACTAAACTCACATGCGACCCAAGTGACATTGCCAAGCAACATTTGTCCTACACGTTAGCTGAGTTATACAGATTACTCTTAGTGGTGCTTGAACCCAAGATATTTAACAGCTCTGCTGACAATACAGTGGCAGAAAGATTCCATCTTCTATGTTAAAAAATGGTAAAGGAAGAGAAAGCTACTCCGAAGCAAAAGACAGCATAAACAATTTTTTCATGTGTACAACCCGAGTGCCAACAACTCAGCCACTCTGCCTCTATAATGTATAAGAAATCCTAGTGACTTGAGAGGGGCTACTTTTGTGTACAGATAAGGCAATTAAATTGTCACTTTAAGCAAGTTTTATTTAAATTGGGTGATCCAGACTAAAAGCTCAGACCCAGCATTATGAATGTGGCCCTTAGCTTTTCAGTGTTAAAAGTGTACTGAACCAATTAACATTATCTTCACAGAAGCTCACATATGCTCTCCAGAAAACGAAGCTTATAGATGTCTCATATGAACAGCCTACTGAAGAATAAAAAATAATCCCAGGTTTCACAAATGTGTTGGGGCAGTTAAGTGATCAAATGGCAGTGTAAAGAGCTCAGCTGAGTGGCATTAGTCCTCAAAGAAGCATCTGTGTGGTAAACTAGACCTGCCCCCTCACCTGTCATGGCCTTTTAAAGCCAGGAGGGAAACAAAACACAACTACATGTGCAGCTGCCAGAGAAACACAGCCTGCCCCAAATGAAGCAAAAACCAATGAGTGCTTCCTTTGCTTTAGAGAGCCAAGAAAGGCATCTGGAATAGCAATACTGAAACAGGAGGGCAGAAGCTCCAAAGACCTGCAAAAACTGAAATTCATGGCCTTTATTTTTCATCTGCAATCTTTAGACGCTGAAGTTTGAGCAAAATCCACCACACATACACTAACTAGCTGTTGTCCAAAATGTAAAAAATAAACTACTCAGGCAATATGACATGCAACTATGATCCCTGAAAACTCTTTTCCCATGTTTTTTTAAAAAGAGGGATACATCAATTTTAGAAAGCCAAAACTGCCATCAGGTATGCTCCCAGCAGTAGTTTGAGAGACCAAAAGAGAAAGGTCCTAATGGATCACTCTGACATTTTTAAAATATTTCCTCTGAGCTAAAGCCATGAAATACAAACATCAAGATACTGGACTTTTTTTGCTAGGGGGGGGGTGTCCTCTAGCACAAGCAGTATTCTGCTTGGGCAAGAGGCTCTTCCAATGGTGCAAGGCTGCTTGTGCCAGAAGCAAACACAGCCTTAGGTGGAAAAGTTCCACAGAATCCAAGCCATCTATTGCATACTCCAACTCTGAATTGCTGAAACAGCAACCCTACCATAGGCTACATCAGCTGATATGAAAAGAGGCAAGCAACTGATAAATGTTTACAACATGCAAAAATAAAGCAGAATTAACACAATTATTAAAAACCCTTTACTAGCTCAGTTTCAGCGACCTGGTTCATGTCTGCATCACAATTCTGAAAGAATGTAACATGACTTTAAAGTAACTTGTCAATGTCTGAAGTTTTCCAACACATGTTAAGACATATTGCTTTTAAGATACACGCACAAAAACAAGACCACCAGATTTCCATATGGCATAGTACAATAAGCTCAGTATATTCCTAAAAAGGTTCAGACAAAGGAACTTACTAGGATTCCAAATAAGCCTGCATGTTGCGTGCTGTTCAAATCACAAATTTTAATTGTAGGGGCTTGACTAATGTTTCATGGTTCTAGGTTTATACAAACAACAAACTTAGCCTTAATTTTTAAAAAATGACAAGCTTAGCTACTAGTTGAAATAACTGGTGTAAAATATCACTGGGACCACTACTGAAAGCAGTGAAAGGCAATGGTTCAAATGTGACACCAATGTAAAAAGTTATTCTTCTGAATACTGTACTTATGAAAATTAATTATATTCTAATTAGAATTCTTAAGGAAACTGCTCAGCAGTTTCTTTGTAAGCAAGAACACTCTTGTTAAAATCCAATTATAAACCACATAGTATATCCACATAATCTGATGGGGATTCTTAAAAACGAAGGTTAGTACAAATATATATATTCAGAATATTTAACATTCAGTTTTAAAATTAAACATTTATTTACATTATTTATAAAGTCTTTAAGAGGTAATAGTCTACAGTAAAATTATTTAAACCTCAAAAGAAAGTGACTGAATAGTTAGATAATCCTACACAGAGTGAAGCAGGCTTAAATCTATTAATTTCCAAGATGCAAGTGCACTGAACTCTGTGTAGGACTGCAGTATTTACATATTTTCAAAAAACAAACAAATTGGTCTAAGTTCAATGAACCCTGATTTATTGGCTACTGGAAACACTGAAAGAATTCCAAGAGTCTGAACTGCCTCCCCACCTCTGTCTTCTTTGTGGAGGAGGCCTTTGGGAAGTTTTATGGAAAGGTAGCACCGAATTCATAACAACGGGTATAGATATTTGATATTCATATCTTTCCAGCATTTGAATAATCTTCTCACGACTGACCCCATGCTTGTTCTTCCTACAAAAAACAAGAAATTAAGTTCAAGTCTTTGATTAATCAGATCACCCCAGAATGCTTTCACCTTGTCCACTTCCAAGACTCTTGTCAGAGCCAAACTCAGTGTGATCCCCCCACCCCTTGAGTGGAAAAGCAACCGGGGAACAGAGCACAGATTTGAGCAGAAAGGTTTAAACAGTGCGATCCCCACCTGAACCGATTTTTGAAAGTTAGGTTTTTAATGAAAAATAGCCAAGCAAAATTCCAAGAAGAAATTGCTCATCTCCATGTATGCTGGTTACATGCATACTGAAAACAATATACTGTATACTGAAGATCTGATAACGCATTTAGTACTTCTAAAAGTGTGACGTTTAAATATCCAGATAACCTGGCACTTCAAAAGGAAACCAGGAAAAGTGTCTACTTGCTACATAGTAAATTTAATCGGCCAGCAATAACCTCGAAATAATGGTTCGATTAAAAAAACAATTTCTACTAAGCTTCAGGAAGAGGGCTCACGGGATTGTGCTCCCCCCCCCACAAATTTAGAAGACAAACAGAAGATACAAACAAGGAAATGAAAGTGAACAGAGAAGTAAAACATGACCTCTGTCATAAGTAGGGTTCTCAGGTTGAGCCTGGCAACTGGCAGGAACATGGTTGGGGGAATGCATTGTGAACATTATGACACTGCTTCTGGGAAATTCCAAAAGTGACTACGATTGCCACTGCTCCGGGTTTTCCACAGAAGTGACATCATCATGCTTGCCAATGCCAGTGAGTTTTAATTTTTCCCATTACTACTTGGAGTGGCAGCAGGCAATGGGAGCTCAGGGCAGGGGATCCCCCGCCCCAACCAGCATGCCTCATTAGCAGCAACACAGAGGACACATCGTTTATCAAAAGGGTAGCTTGAGGTTCCAGATTTTGAGAGACAGGTCTAGTACTGGAAAATTAGGGTAGAAGATGCTTAAAAGTGAGAGTACAGAAAAAACTACAAAGATTGCACAATAGTACAATACTGGATTCTAAAGAGAGTTTCATGCATTCCTCAAACAAGTAAATAAAACATAGGCCTCACTTTTCTAATTCTTCAGGGTTAAACTTCCACCATGTGTCTGGTTCATGGAATTCCACTCTATAGCATTTTTCTAGAGCCTAAGCAATCAAACAAACAAAAAAAGAAGCACATCACTTATTGTTTCTTTCTAACCCGTGTTGTAATGTGATTTCAGAGGAAAATATGAGAAACTAGTAAAATATATGAAGATGTTTTACACAAAGTCATCCAGGTGAAGCATCTGTAACAGTATCACATAATCTGTCAGCAGTTTTCCAGGATATCAGGCAAAGAAAAGGCTTCCCTAACACTGGTTACCTATGATCCTTCAACCAGAGATGGGAGTGACTGGTTCTGGGACCTTCTGCAAGCAAAGCATGTGCTCTGCCACTGAGCCACAGTCCTGATAAAGTTCAGAAGACCAAATCCCAGATTCTTTATTTCAGTATAAAGGCCTGGTATTTACTGACACTTGTGTTGAGATTAAGATATGTGAAACTGAACAAAATCTAATTTCTTATCACAAACAAATTAACGGTTGATTTATTTGCAGACTGAATTGTTTTGCCCATTATAAAAGAAAAGGAGCCTCCAGAAGAAATATGCTGCTTTATTTACCGCTTCCACATAAGGCTTCATTTCCCATGCTTGAGTATTAGTGTTGTCTATTATAATTGGAGATCTTCCTTGATCCATTGCTTGTTTTGCTGCAATAAACAGTAAAAATGCAATTGTACAAATAATTAAAATGTGATGAGATTAGATAAATCATAATCTTTGGAAATAAGGAAGCTTCTAACAGAGCTAACTCCTCTTAGTCTTAGTTTCTAGATGGGTACCCAAAAGACCACCCCTACCAATATGAATCTGCCCATGACCCAAGATCAGCTACTGAAACCCTGCAGTGCATGCAACATGAGCACCGTAACTAAGAAACTCTTCTCCTGGGTACTCATTGATTTTACCTCTGGCAAAATTTATGAACTCTCTGCCTTATACCTCTACCTGTCACCCTCACTCATGGCCTTTCAGTGCCTTTTGAAGACCCTTTTATTCTGGAGGGCTTTTGGAATGGGTTACATATGCATTTCTGCAGCACAGCTGGTTTTATGATATTGTCTTAGGCTGTTGTAATTAGCTTTTAAATCTTGAAACCTATTAACTAATACTGGACAATACTTTTTTTGTGTAACATGAGTACTGCACTGTTCTATAAAGGTGAGGTATACCGTGAGCATACAGATTACATACATACATAGGATACATACATTAGCAGTGTGTGTATACGTCTTAAGTGCTGTCAAGTTGCTCCTGAGTTACAGCAACCCTATGAATTAATGAACTCCAAAATATCCTGTCATTCTGGTCTTCAATATTTCTCTACACTGAAATATCAAAAATATTTCCCTTTTACATAACTGCTGGAGGCACAGTAACCCTTTCTCATATTGTATCTGACAGCCACAGACTCAGTGTCTAACCGTTAAGTGTAAACTTAAGCACAGTTGCAGCCTTCAAAGACCACTGAAATCAGTGGACTTAGCAGGATACAACTCTGCTCAGGACTGTAGTATATAGCAGAAATCTCTCCATCTCTCCACAAAAAATAAAAAAATAAACAATTAGCCAACTGAATCTTTGTGCATTCAGATGGACCTTCTGTAATAAAGCATTATTATATTGTGGGAGTTTATGTCTATTTTTCATTCACATGACTTATACATGATGAAATCTAATATATTCACACCTCTCTTCTGGTTCCAGTCGTGAGCAGCACCAAGCTGACCAACATCATATGACCATCCATCTTGCTGACAAAAGTAATCATCGGTGCTGAACACAATGCCATCATGACTGTGACCAAGCAGAATGCTGTGGAAGAAAAAGCAAGATTATTACAGAATTACCAAAGTTTTATTTTTGGAGTGATGAAAAATGTGCTATTCCTGGTTGTCTCCATCCCACAGAAACAGTATTTCATTCAGGGAATGTTTTCAGCTACCAAAGGAGGGGTTTTGTTGTTCAGTCACACAGTCGAGTCCAACTCTTCGCGACCCCATGGACCAGATCACGCCAGGCCTTCCTAGTAGGCAACCCCCGCCCCCCCCAATCTGTATACATTTTAGATGGGATCCAAGTCAATATACCGTACTGGGATGTTCTTGCATGTCTCAAGTTTGTTTTTATTAATTTTTATTGATTTTTTAACTTTTACAACTTTTCTAAGGATATACAGACATACAATACAATAATTCATGTTATATTAACCAATAAAACTCTTAAACATTTAGAGAAAAGGGGAGTTTTCTAATCTTTCTTAGTAGTTACATCTTTTAAAATATATTGTATCTTGATACAGGGGGTTATTTGGGATTATATTTTGATTTACCATGAAGTGGATCACAAGTTTGTTTTTAAAGCAGCAAGAGGACACACACATCCTCTGCCAAAGATCTAAGTTACTTCAGCAGTTATCTGCATAGGAACAAACACTGGTCACTGTAATTATTAATTATATTACCCTCCCCATATGACACTGAATATTCCCAGATAATAACTAATGAAATAGCTGTCCACCAGAAAAATCACTAGACATAGGTACTGATATGTAACAAAATGGAATCCACAATCACATTCCACAGATCAGGGTTCAGTTTGTTCCCAGAGATAAAGAAAGTCCTGATACACCGGACACTGAGAAACACTTTGTAGAAAAATTAATTGTAAAGCTGAGGACTCCTATACATACAAGTAATCATATACTCATGTGGTTTAGGCTTTACTTCATTATGGTCCAGTGACAGTACATGCAATCTATGTAATTTCCCCCAATAAAGTCTGAAGCCCCATTCATAAATGGAGCTTATATGCAGCAAATGAAGACCAACTAATTGTGAGTTAGTCTGACATAGCAACTGAGTTGGACCAGAGTTTGAATTTTCATTTGAGCTGTGAAACTCACTGTTCTGTCAGCTTAACTTATTTCATAGGACTGTTGTAAGTGGAAAAAATGTGGTCCATGGGTGCTCTGTACTCTTTGGAGGAAAGATTAAATATCTATATTCTGCCCTGACCATCCAATAGTTCAGAGCTGCTTATAATAAACAATAAAAACCAAGGTTTGCACCACAAACCAGCAATCAGTTCAATCCCACCACCAATAGAGAAAGGCTGCTTCCAGACAAGGATGCAAAAGCATGTTCCTTCTATGGCAGCAAGCGATGCAGGGACTGGTGGGAACACAATCCATAATATGCCATTTCCTCTTGCTGCCGTTCCCTCCAACCTCTTTCCTGTCACATATGCATATTGCACAGGCTCCCTCTCAGCCTGCAATCCCCCCCTTATTCCTAACCATACTGCTTGATAAAGTAATAATAAAGCTTTTTAAAGGTCTGAAAACGAGGAAGGCAGTAGAACTTAGTGATGGCTACTGGGAAGTATCTGGATGGATGTTCCACCCAAAGCCAACTCCTACTTTCTCCTGTACTTTGGAGAATATGAGATTTGTATTTTCTCCAGAGTAAACGAGGAAAAAGCAGGACACAAACAAGTCACGTTATAACCGGGTACAATATCATCTGGACTCCTTTACTGTGGCAGCTTTCTGATGTCCTTGCAGGGGAAAGGGGAAATCCCCATGCTGAAACAACCAAAAGACAGATAAAACTGCCTGCAAAAATACAATAATTGAAGTCCAAGTCCTCGGCAAAATGCCCCTCTCCACCACTACTGATTTACATGGCTTCCTAAAGCCTAAGAGGAATCGAGCATTCCTCACCACTTCTGAGAGCTCATCCCACAAGGTGAGGCAATGATGGAGAAGGCTCTTAAAGAGGTAAGGTAATATATCTGTAATAAGAGCACTACAAAAAGGAATCGCTGAGCTGACCAGAGCTGGCATACAGGTTCATACAAAGACTACACAAAGCAAGCCCCACACAGTTCACCAAGTTTTGTCACCAATGATTTCTCCAAGTTTTTTTTCTTTTTAAAATACTTACATCAGAGAAGTACTACATAAACAAGCAATCTTTACAGAAATAATTTTAGTTGTCTTAGCCTAGCACCAGAAATTTTCTCATTGAGCTGAACTTTGAATCCGGGTCTTGAAAGCTGCATTCCTATAACTCTCTGATTATAACAGAAATTACTAGATTTTTAAAAACCCCATCAGCATCCTTTAAGATGTATTTGGTCAATAAGAAATTGTTAGGATCATTGCCAACCGTGTTTTAAATATGCAAATAAAACAATTTCACTGCTGTTCTTCTAGAATTTTCAGTACTTATCAACACGATTACAACTACTGCCCCACGGTCCAAAAAACCTCACAGGCGCTTAATAAAAACAAATTGTATTTATAGGTTTAATTCCATATAACTCAACATACTATAAGGAATATTATGTGGTTTATTTGAAGTTAGCATTTACTTACCGAGACAATGTTGTCTTTCCTGAGCCTGGAAGGCCTCTCAGGATCAGGAGTTGCTTTTGTGACTCACATAAGCTGCCCTCCAGGAATTGTTCAGAAACACTACTTGATCCTTCAGTTTGTTGAGCATCTTTCCAACATGTTGCGGTTTCATAGAAACCATTACCTATATACCTTTCCTGGACACTGTATCCATTTTGAATGGTCTGTATACTTGGAGTACCAGAATGACTAGTACGGTCACTATTTTTATCAGAGGGTGAACAGCTCATGTTAATGTGGGTGTTTTCAAATGGACCTACATTTGAAGAACTGAAATTATTTGAATGGTGGGATGATGGAACCGGCTCCTGAAAATTAAAATTACGGATGAACTGGGGAGGTGGTGGGCCATAAGGTATTATAAATGGAGGTGTCTGTTGCCAGCCAGGGTTAAAGGGAGGTACAGAATCATTCCAGAATCTAGAACCTGCTTGTTTATTACATGGCTTTTCAGCTTCCCATGCATTTCTTTCACTACCAAAAGACTGTCCATTGCCAGTTCTATGACCCATCTGCCCATTGTAGGGATTCTGTTCACTGCATATTCTGCGATCACTGGGTTCACCGTAAAAACACTGACCACCATCACAACTGGAAGTTGTTTTGCTGTAGGACAAGTCTTGAGAGCTAATACACTCTATTTGATTCCATTTGTTATATTCCACAGGTTGCTTATGAAAGTCTTTTCCAGCTTTATCCAAGATATTTTCATCACTTTCAAGCTGATGAATTTCACTATAGAATTGAGACAATTCATCTTCTATTTTTGGTATATCACTGGGTAGACTCCGTTTTGGTGCCATTTCTTTCTTAGAACTACCACCACGCATTGCTTTTGGCACTTTTTGGTGATTTCTGTATTTGTAGTTTTTCTTTTCCTTGGTTTGCTGAACAACTTCAATTTTATATATGGGTCCAATGAATGCTTTGCTTGTGCTGTACAGTTCAGTATTTCCTTCATTCTTATATTTCTCCAATGATTCATTATTTTCTCTATTATTAACTACTGCAGTATTCTTACCAGAGAAAGCGTATTTATATCCTGTAATTTCAGTATTATTTACTGCATTTGAAGGCTTACACGTCACTGGCTTTATACCAAGGAATACCTCTTTAGATGGGACCAGGCCTCTTGTAGTTTCATCTACTCCATCCTCATCATCAAAGAGGGACAGAGGTATAAACCCACTATGGGTTTTCTTAACATGTACTTCTTCATATAGGCTTTGCAATCCATCATAGGATTTGCCATAAGGCTCTTCTGTTGATTTCATTTTTTTAGAACATGGCTCAACTGCTGATCCATCCTGACTTTCAAGACATCTTGACTTACTTTCCGCATGAAGCATCTTAAAATAATAAAATATGATTATGCTTACAGAACAAAATTCTTTTCCAGTATTTATCTGCTACTAACTTTATTTAGTCCAGTAATGGGGGGGGGGGGAGAACTACTATGGGCCAGTAAAGTGGTGGTGGTCAGAAAGTAGCTGAATCAGAATAGCACTCTTTGTCTTCCGCTTCAAGCCCCCCTCCCACCCAAAATGGATACTACTAGCAAAAAAAATTAAATAACTTTAATTAAATAACTATACAGATATTGTGAAAAATGTTTTTCATTTTACAAGGGAGGAGGCGAAGGTTTTCAGGTAATGCTACCCTTCCATTTTAAAAATACCATCCACTTCCGACAGATGCCAAAATCAGATTTAAGTACTGTCGACCCAACAGAACAGTACAATAAATTCTATAATCGTTTCTAACTGCCACCAGATAGCCCAGCCACAACAGCCACACCTATTAAACACACACGTACACAAAACGAACAGAGAGTTTTCCCTAGGGTAAAAACAAGACACTGACTGAAACCCTAGGCAGAATTACTCCCTCCTAAACCCACTGGAATAAATGGGTTTATCGGAGTAGGATCCTGTTTAGGACTGCGCTGTGAGTCACTATACTATTTTAAGTTCGCCCTTTCCTAAGGGGCTCCCGCCGGCTGCGGTGCATCCCGACCCTGCGAGGAGGGGTTTGCGACGCCCACTGAAGAAAACTCCCACTTCTTCCCACGTTGTATCAGTTTATTCACTCAGCCCGGGGCGCTGTTTTCCCTCAACTTCGCGTCTCGCTCACCATCGCTGGGAACATCAGTGGAGTCGGGCCCTTATTCACCTTAAACCTCCACCACATCCCTCTTTCCCCAACGCTTGTGGTGATAAAATACCAAGATAAAGAAATACCCACCCCGGAAGCGCTTATGGGGGCCTGTCAACACCTCTCTCAACCCCACAATGCAGTTTTCAGCTATAAACCCCGTAAGGTGCTACCCCGCACTCAGCACTACCCTCACCACGAGTCCTACCCGAATCTAAGCAACAAAACCTACCTCAGGGAAAAGATGCCACTCGCCGCCCGAGAGGCCTCGAGTCAAGCGGACACATTGATGATTCCAGGCTGCGATACAACAAACCACAACAATCCCAGCCCCCCTTCAAAATGGCTCCCCTTGCCAAGCTACGCATGCGCTAACACCCGACGTAATGTGGAGCGTGTAGTGGTGGTAGTTTCCGAGGGCGATTAACAAAAAACTACAGCTCCCAGAATTCTTAGCGGGCTAATTGACCCCTCTCAAGGCGCAGCGAGGAAAGTGCGTAGATCGGCAAAAGGAAGAGAGTGAAAGTGGATATCACAGAATAGACGTAGGCTCTCATTTCAAAACCAGGACTGATTCCACGGATCTGTGAAGGGATAGAAGAATGCATTTGAGCCATCGCAGACTGCCTTCTCTGCTCCTGTAACTATAATCTGTCCCCACGTGTTTAGGGTGATTTCGAGGCAGGTTTGCAAACTGATTTTGGAAGGACCCTGTGCCTTTATAGGTGAATGAAAAAATAAAACCAACATCATAGTGTAGACCATATCTTAGACTATAGAAAGCACTACGAAAATCATGCCCCCATGAATTCGTGGCACCACAAAACAGCAAAAACATGGTTCTGGATTATGAAAGAAAAGAATTGCAGGAAGGTTTATAAAGAAGATTTTGGGTTTATACTGATGCGGGGATTCCCATGTAACTAGAGATACCAAGTCCTGTCTCTTTAACAAAGGCTTAATAGGTTGTTATTTACCTCTCTGCCAATGAAAGCTTCAGCTATTGATTTCCACACATTATATCCCTATTAAAAGACCAGGACAGTATTCTCCAGAACTGTTGTCAACCCAAATTATTTCACATCCTTAATTTTATCCACACTTGGCCATCAAATCGTATCACTTCATCTATTTTGTATCTCTTCAGTAGATCATGTTAAGTAACCTTTTTAGAATTTGTGTCAGCAGTTTATCAGTCACTTACAACAGGCTTTATACCAGTCCAATACATGGGCTATATGAACCAATTACATTCTAATAATTCACTAAGTATTTATTGTAGAAAACTTGCAGGTACTACAGGAAATGCTAAAAGAATGCATAAGTAACTTGTTTCAGGTGGCTAGCTCTGTTAGTTTGCAGTAACAGAACAAAATTTGAGTCCAATAGCACCTTAAAGACCAACAACATTTTCCAACGTGTATGCTTTCGAGAGCAAGACTCACTTCATCAGATCTAACAAAGTGAGCCTTAATTCACAAAACTTATCTCCTGGAAAATGTTGTTTGTCTTTAAGATGGTACAGGACTATATAAAGTAACAAGATCCAGCGTGTGTAGTGTTTAGAACAGTCATTCACAAAGTGGGTGGTAGCATCCCCAGGAGGCAGCGGGATCACCTAGGGGGGCACAAAGAGGCAAGAGGGGGTGCTAGAGGTGAGAGCCCCTTCAACTTCATTGTTCACTTATATATGATTGACCAGGCTAGAGCCTAGAGTGAAACACTTTCCTCACTTTGTTCCTAAAGTTTTACTGCCCTTTTTTTCTTTCAAAGTTATTTCCTTTGGTCACATTTGTATCTATGATTTTGAGTTGGCATAAGCCACAAGATAGCCAATGGCACTGCCTCTGCACAGTGCTGACATCTGGTAGAAACTACCAGAAATTTTAGTAAATATGGCACAACAACTCTAGTCAGATCAGTATACCAGGATTTGAGAAACAGTTGTCACCCCATGTGCTTTTGTCTCTTTGTCATTTTTCAAGTTTGTGCCAGTAAACCCTAGACATAATAGCACTGAGTGTGGTATTTATTTTCCTATGTTCTTGGTTACTGAACCTGTTGGTTATGAAGCACGTTTTTTACAGTTATTTTTGTTGCAGTCTGCCCAGTGCGAAATGTCTCCACCATTCACATTTGCTGCTTAATACTGAAGTTTGTTGGCTATCAAAAGGCAACTGTGTGAGATACTTTAACATCCTTTGCACTGTAGTGGAGTTTTTTGAAGACATACATACTTTGCTCAGCCTTGAACTCAAAACAGATCAGGCATGACACTGCTTATTTATCAGAGCTATTTGCAAAGTTTAATGAAATGAATCTGCAGTTGCAAGGAAAATAAAGTCAATCTTATCAAGGCCAAATCTGTCATCTCTATGTTTATTTCAAAGTTAACTCTATTCAAACGCAATGTAGGCCATTGTGAGCTACACCAGTTTCTGAGCCTAGGATATTCCACATTCTCATTTTCCTCACTCGTGTGTCCCTATTGCTTTGGAGTTTTCTTTTCTGCATGTGTTTTGTTCCCTCTAGTGGGTGATTTGGTATTATATCACTTTATGTCTGGTATACTCCCTGCAGATTTAAACTTCAGGTTTCTGTGCCAGACATAAAGTGATGTCATATCAAATTGACTACTAAAGGGAGCAAAAAATTATGCAGAACGGGGGGGGGGGGGGACGACGACGGACGGACTCCAAAGCAACAGGGACACACAAGCGAGATAAACAAAACTGCGGGAAAACCTCCTGTCTGAGCTAGAAGAGAAAGGTGGGATACAAGATGATGATCTTCAAGTTTTTGTCACTGTTATGAATATACAGTGGAGGTGAAGAATAGGTTTAAGGGACTAGATTTGATAGACAGAATGCTTGAAGAACTATGGATGGAGGTTCGTGACTGAAAAGTATGCAGACGGAGAGTGATTTCAGCTAAGCATACCTTTATTTAGTCCGGAACAAAGACATTTGGCTGGCTCGCAGGCCGGCTTATATTCCTTCAGAAAACCCGCCACCAAACACACCAAACACACACCCCACTCCCGATAGGCTATTTACAGTAACCGAGAGACCTATTGGCCTCCCGGCTGGGGACCTGGCCCTTTCATTAGGCCTGGCAAGGATCCTACTGGCCCATTGTCTTTTGGCATGAAGCTAGTGGTGTTTGTGCCTGAGCCAGTCCGGGCATGTTCGGACATGTCAGGCTGGATACACTACAGTGACATTGTACAGGAGGTAGCAATCAGCACCATCCCAAAGAAAAAGAAACACAAGAAAGCAAAGTGGCTGTCTGATGAGGCTTTACGAATAGCAGGGGAAAGAAGGAAAGCAAAAGGCAAAGGTAAAAAAGAAATATTTACCCAACTAAATGCAGATTTCCAGAGAACAGCAAGGAGAGATAAGGAGGCTTTCCTGAATGAACAATGCAAAGTAATAGAGGAAAACAATAGAATGGGAAAGACTAGAGATCTCTCAAAAAAATTGGAGAAATCGAGGGAACGTTCTGTGCAAAGCTGGCCATGATAAAGGACATAAAAGGCAGGGACCTAACAGAAGCAGAAGAGATTAGGAAGAGATGGCAAGAATACACAGAAGAACTATACAAGAAGGACCTCAGTGTCCTTGACAACCACGATGGTGTGATCACTGACCTTGAGCCAGACATCCTGGAGTATGAAGTCAAATGGGCCTTAGAAAGCATTCCTAACAACAAAGCTAGTGGAGGTGATGGTATCCCAGCTGAGCTATTCAAAGTCTTAAAAGATGATGCTGTTAAAGTGCTGGACTCAATATGTCAGCAAATTTGGAAAACGCAACAGTGGCCACAGGATTGGAAAAGGTCAGTTTACATTCCAATCCCAAAAAGGGGCAATGTCATGGAATGTTCAAACTATTGCACAATTGCACTCATTTCACACACTAGCAAGGTCATGCTCAAGATCCTACAAGATAGGCTTCAGCAGTACATGGATAGAGAACTGCCAGAAGTACAAGCTGGGTTTCGAAGAGGTAGAGGAACTAGAGATCAAATTGCCAATGTTCACTGGATTATGGAGAAAGCAAGGGAGTACCAGAAAAAATCTACTTCTGCTTCATTGACTACACTAAAAGCTTTGATTGTGTGGATCACCACAAACTATGGCAAGTCCATAAAGAGATGGGAGTACCAGACCACCTCACATGTCTCCTGAGAAACCTGTATAAGGGTAAAGAAGTGACAGAATTGGATATGGAACAACTAATTGGTTTATCATATGAAAAGGAGTACGACAGGATTGTATACTGTCACCCTGCTTATTTAATTTATATGCAGAGTACATCATGCACAATGTTGGCCTGGATGAATCACAAAATGGAATTAAGATTGCTGGGGAAAAGATCAACAACCTCAGATATGCAGATGATACCACTCTAATGGCAGAAAGTGAAGAGGACCTAAAGAGCCTCTAGGTCAGAGTGAAAGAGGAGAGTGCAAAAGTGGGCTTGAAACTCAACATCAAAAAAGGAAGATGATGGCATCCGGGCCCATCACTCCTTGGCAAATAGAAGGAGAAGTCATGGAAGCAGTGGCAGAATTTCACGTTCCTGGGATCCATTAAATTAAAAGACGCCTGCTCCTTAGGAGGAAAGCAATGGCAATCCTAGACAGCATAATAAAAAGTAGAGACATCATCCTGCCAACAAAAGTCCACATGGTCAAAGCAATGGTATTCCCAGTAGTAATGTATGGCTGCGAGAGTTGGACTATAAGGAAGGCCAAGCGCCGAAGAACAGATGCTTTTGAATTATGGTGCTGGAGAAGACTCTTGAGAGTCCCTTGGACTGCAAGAAGATTGAATTAGTCAATCCTAAAAGAAATCAACCCTGACTGTTCCCTGGAAGGCCAGATAATGAAGCTGAAGCTCAAATACTTTGGCCACCAAATGAGAAGGGAGCACTCACTGGAGAAGACCCTGATGCTGGGAAAGACTGAAGGTAAAAGGAAGGGGACGGCAAAGGATGAGATGGTTGGACAGTGTCATAGATGCAACGGACATGAAATTAAGCAAACTCCGAAGAATGATGGAGGGCAGGAGGGCCTAGTGTGATGTGGTTCATGGGATTGTGAAGACTGAACAACAACAACAGGATAGGTTTATGGAACAAAAGGAGCAGTGGCCAGACAAAGTTTAGGAATCACTAGATTAAGAGTGTCAGACTGTGATCTGGGCAAGCCAGGTTTGAATCCTCCATAGAAGCTTGCTGGGTGACCTGTACCACTCTCAGCCTAACCTGTCTCACAGGGTTGTTGTGAAGATAAAATGGAGAAGAGAATGCTATAAGCCC